TTCACAGGTTCTCCCAAAGATGACAATGTCCATTGCAGCTGAGATTGATTGCATCTTGAAAAACAAGCCTCACTGTAAAAAGGGTTCCAGATTTTCAAAGGAGCACTGATAGGCTGCTGTAGACCCAGTGCATGATGGGATCTTGATCCTTGTGTAATTCGTGTACACTTCACTGTTGTAAAAAAAAAAAAAAAACAAGCAACTGAAAACAAATAAACACATTTAGACAACACTACTTCTCAATTATACTGTGATAAATTAACTGCTGCCATGGAAACTGAGAGAAATGTTCAAAAGACCAGAGTTTGACACAAGCTAGTTTAAAAAGAAATAAAAAAGAAGAAATGTGGACTAACTGTTTACCAGAGACGGACTGTTTCTCCAGTGTTGTAATGGGTCCAAATGATGTGTTGCACTTGGTTAAGTGTTTTGCCAAAGCTGTGTAAGACATTGCCTAATTCAGTTAAATTATTCTTTATTTTTTGTATAATGTAAATCTACCGTCACACCTTAGGTGGCGGTATAGTGCCACACAGAGTCGTTGACCAGGCGTGTTGCTGCTGAGCAAAACTGCAGGTAGAGAAAATTCACTGTGTGGAGAAAATTACTTGTTTCCCTGGCATATTATTTCACTTATAACCTGTTTCATGAATATTAAGGAATTGCTGCCTTAAAACAAGCTCATCTTTCTTGCTGAAAGTTACTTGTTGGTTATTTTTGTCTTATTTCAAGTGTACTGCAAAGTTTTCACTAGAAATTAAACCAAAAATATTGGTAAGCTTTTGTGGTTTTACAGTGCAAGTTTGATCTTATCATGGAGTGGTATTAAAAATTAAAAACTATGTGTAGTTTGCAGGAATAAGTTTTCAGTGGTAGGATCAAGGAGTTGCACATAACACTCTAAAGCATAATGTTCATTCCCAAAATAAAATAACTTTTATTTTCTTGATGTTCATTCTACAGATAACAGCAACATCACTGACCTATTTACACTAATATTCATAGAGAACTACTGAGAAGGGAAACCTGCACATCACATGCAGGGTTGGTACTTCTGACATGAGTACTATTTGCAGGTAATCTGTATTGTTCTGGTTCTGCTTAAGTAGTCCTTACACCTGTAATACAGACATCAGTGTGTGAATGTACTTGTGGATGTTCAGATGACTGAATGCAGTGTGAGGCGCTTTGCAGTCCTCTGACTTGATGGAGCACTATGTAGGTTCAGACCATTGACAATTGACCATTCTTTAAACGTCTCAGTGGGTTTTTGTCATGGTGTTAAATTAAAGGCTTGATGTTTTGTGAAATTGGTGACAAATGGACAGATCTTTCCATCAGTTTGTAGGTGTGTTGTGTTTTATGAGGTACCAGCGGACTTAGGTAAGTGTCATCTGTTGCAGCTAAATAGTTTTCTAGTTGCAAAATCCCCCAATAGGCCAAGCAGCATATCTCCTTTGAATGTGTTTAGCTGCTGTTAAGGCTCCATCAGAGGAGATTTGGACAAATGTACTTAACCCTTCCAGACCAAACGCAGTGTCGGAGATCCAGCCAAATTTGCGTTACCATAATTCTGCCACACGTTGTGCCATCTCCCGTATAGCAAGGAGTGAAATTAATCTGAGGGGGATTCTTTTAATAAACGGCAAATTACGAAAATAACTTGGTAGATATTGAAAGTTCCAGTTGTTATGGATAAATGGGCAAATATATTTACACACAGGACATTTAAAGAACCGTGTACAATTAAAAGAAGCAAAAATATCCAGGCGGAGATTTGAAACTTAGGTCTAAAAGGGTTAAAAGAAATTGCTGAAAAGAGCCGACCTCTTTTAGATTGAGATTTCAGAGAAATGTTTGAAAGATAATTTAAAGAATATGCTGAAGAACAATTTAAGTTGAATTTGCATTTTGACTGTCAAAAAATCTCCAAGTTCAACTGTTCAGGTGATAGTTTGCTTAATCTGTGGATTTTGCCTGGACTTATTGAACAGGAGCTGCAAGACTTTTCTTTGATTGAGATTGTTGTTGCAAATAGACATAATTTGCCAGAATCAGCTTCTACTTTAATGCTGCCGTAGAGCATATAAAAGTGGTTTTAAAAAGATCTTTGTGTTCTAGATAAATAAGTAAAAATCCCCCTGATTTAATTCCGTTAATGATTAAGATTTTTTTTTTTTTAGCCAGACTGTGTTAATATTCAAATTAGTGAACACATTCAATTAGTGTTGAATGGAAGCTAAACATGAGATCCAGGATAATAATACTGCAGTGAGCAAATGTTAATGTCATTCATAATAAAACGTGGGGAAATTTTTTGTCTGCAGGTTGTGAGGAAACAGCATGTTTTCAGGGTGCTGCTGTTTATTACCTGGATTTTTTTCATGTTTGAATATTAAAATTTCTCCCAACAAAAAGTCCAATCTTAGTAAAATTACAACAGAACATAAGATCCACTGAGACATCACGGCAGCATAAGCAGCACTGCAGATCTAAGTTTTTATCCTCGACTCACACGCAGACATTTATTTTACTATAGGTTTGTATCTATGTGTTTATTGGTTGAAACATATGTTTTTATTTCTCCTGATATTAATGCTTCGTTGTCTTTTCTCTTAACAAAAGTGTGATTTAATGAGATGAAATGAAATGCAACTGTGTAACCATTGAAGTAGGATTTACAGTTCTTGAAATGTGTGCGTTTGTTTTACATATCATGGTAGAAAACAGCTGCTCTCTGCGTTTTCCTGATCCGCTCTAATGAAAACACATTTGTAAAACCCTCAGTAATATGACAATATAATTACTGTAAATCTTCAACGACGTTTCTATGACGTTTCCGATTTAGTTGCATTTATCTCCACGCAGCTACAAAAAATTTTTCATTGCTAGAATTCATGATTTTATATTTACACACATTTTCTCCAGCAGAGACAAATTTGTGAGAAAACGACATCAGATACAACAACTAACAGCAAATTTGCAGTGGAATCTGCATAATACATTATGCATAAAAGAGAACTGGAAAACAAACTTTATTCCTACACTCACTGTCAAATCTGCAGAGTGTTGTGTCAAAAATACTTATTTTTCCAGATTTATAAATAGGAAGCTGGCAGGAATGGAGCCCTAAACTGTGTTGCTTAAAAACAGGAAGAACAAACAACTAAAGTATATAAAATATTGCAGTTAGATATGAAGGGCAAGAAAAGATTTTTGTTTTTTGGTCTTTGATCCTGAAGATGGCAAATTGTTTGCCGACTGTCATAAACCATAAGAAGTTTCAAGGTCATGGTTCAATTCTCACCTGAAACCAAAAATCCCAAACACATTGGTAGAAGATGAATTGATTTATTTTGTATTCTTAACATTTATTTCAATCTGGAAAGACTCAGACAAAGAAAAAGGAACAATTAAAAGATTTAATGACAGCAATGAATAACAGTTCTTTGGCGCTCGGGCCCCGGCAGCTGATCTGAGCTGAGATTTGATGTGAACTCGATGAACATCCCGATAACCGATTAGGGATGCTCTGCCCCAGGGCCCAACACCGGTGGTGGAGGTCTGGAAAGGGTGCCATCCTGGAGAGCCGAAGGATGTGGGTGGAGAAGGGGAGGTGGTGGGTTGAACGCAGCTGGGAAGCGGCCGACGGCTTGGGTGTGGATCCTTTTATGCTGAGCTTGATTGATGATTGGACACGCCAGGTGAGGTCCAGCGCTGAGGTCGGAGATGAGCATGACGCCGATGGACGAACGGAGGGGATGGAGTCTTCCAGGTTGAATTTTCGCTATTAGCTCCATATGTTAGAGTTTGCTCTAACATATAAGACATATAAAGGGTCTAGAGCCTTTTCCTGCTCTGCCCCTTGTCTCTGGATCTCTTCCACAGTTCATCCACAAGTCTGATTCACTGTCTTCATTCAAATCTAACCTAAAAACTCATTTCTTGCTATAATTTCTTTCTGTAATTGTGATGGATATATTGATATATGCCTTCTATTGTTTCATAGCTTTGAGTGCTTTGAAAGGCGTCTTCAAATAAAACTTATTATTTTAGTTGTATCCCTATATTCCAGTTTTCTTCTGGAATATGAGACGTGTGTGGTTTAAAGTCTGACATTAGAACAAAAGCAGGTGATGTTGTGAAGAAGGACCATGTGTTTATGTGTGACACAAAATGATAAGATATCAGTGTCTTCTAAAGATGACACCATCACAGCTCATGTGAGAACAGGACTACGAGGACACAGGCGTCGCTCTAAAGGAACAGTTTCTACAGCAGCCCAGTGCTTCTGTAACGAGATATTCTAAAATAAAAACTGAGAAAATCTGAGACTTTGACATATTTTCTTCCTGGTAGAAAATGCAGAAAACAACAGATGCATAATGTATTAGCACATGGCTAAATTAGAAACAAAACAACTTACAAATCAGATTCTGCAACAAAGTGTGAAAGCAACTTTTTAGATGATGTAAATTAATTGTTAAATATTTTACATATGTATTCATTTCATTGCTGTTTTCAATGAACAGGAGGTTCCAGGGTCAAAGACACAAATGAGCACAAACTGGTGAACAACGGCACCACTGGAATGTATGAGAGGACAAGGAGGACGATGCATTTTCAGCAGAGGTCAGGATAAATCACACATAATCAAACTGTCTGTCTTCAGAACACCTGAAGACCAAAAGAATGTTCTGAAAGAAAGAATGTTCAGGAAGAAAGAATGTTCTGTGGCAGCTGTTCACTTCTTTCTGAAGTGAACAGCTGCCACAGTTTGTTCTGCTGGTTCTCCAAGGAAACAATGTCCTGATGGAGAAACAGCCTGACTTTGGGGTCAGATCACTCTCCCTAAAATGACTCACTGCTAGGCATTGTTTTGTTTTTTTACTTCATGACTCATTTAAAAACATTATGGCCATAAAACAAAGACTACTCAACAAAATAAGTAGATAATTAGAAAACTGGAGGGATGTGGAGAAATGACTTCAGGTGTGGTTCCCTCTTCCTGACTGGGTTACTGTACGATTCCAGTTCTATGCTTTTTTGCCACATTGTTATTTTTTACTTGATGACCCATCAGAGGTGAATGACTGACCGCCCTGCATAAGGGAAAACAACCTTTATAAGCTCCGTGTTTGTGGAGTAAACAGACACTGTTTCCACTGACTGCTAGAACAACTTTCTCACCTCAAGGTAAAATCTGAATTCCTGTACTTCAGCAATAGATGAAAAAAAAAGTATTTTGTAGTTGCAAAGAACTGACCAGACTTAAACATCCAGTTTAGTGTTAAAAGGGTAAATATTTACCTTGTAAACCATCTCCTTATGAATTGAAACATGTTTGAAAGATTGAACTGAGTTTCGTATTAAAGGATTTAAATGCTTTCTTCCAGAGATGGACTCAGTTCTACTTTGCACTTTGCTCCTTTGTGGGTTTGGGCTTGGAGTCGCTGTAAGTAAAGTTAGCTTTTACTTAATGTGCTAAATACACTAACTTTTGAGATTCATATTTTATTCAATCCAAAGGAATTCAAGGCACAATGATCCCCTGTAATAAATATGTCTTTATATCTTTTGAAAACATCCTCAGTCACTTGGATGGGGTCCACCGGACCCAGCTCCACGTCCAGGTTTGTGCTTTCATCATTTTAAATAGTGAATTTTCATAAAACAGTTTACTAGGTTCACTCTAATGTGAAACTTGATAGTTATTTGTTTACATACATTCTGATATGAGAACAGTACATGCACTGCAGGCTCAGTTGTACTGATGTGGTCAAGGTTTTTTCCTTTGGTACACTTGATCTAGTCTAAATGATGTAAAATAATGAATTCAGATTTTAATCGTGGCGACACAGGGACATGAACTAGCTTGTCATTACACAAAGACACAACAGTGAACTAGTCAATGAAATATCATTGCCTGACTACCAGCGTACACACAGAATACTGACAAAAGCTTTAAATAATTGTATATAAATAAATATATATACAGTGAAGAAAAATAAGTATTTGTCCCCTCTGTGATTTCTAAGTGGGAGAACTTGCAAAGTCGCAGGGTGTTCAAATACTTATTTTCCTCACTGTATATATATATATATATCCAGAGGATTCAATAATCGTTCCTTTCTGTAGTTGCTTTCTTGTACCACAACTCCAGATTTCACTTTAAATGATGTGTTGTAAAACCGTTCATGTTAGTTTCCGTGTTTTCTAGCGGCTGTCTATAAAATGTGCCCTGCTGGTTGGACTCGATATCGAGGCGATTGTTACCTTTATGATGACACTGAACTGACTTGGATTCAAGCTGAGGTACAACACACGCATCATTATTTTTATTTGCTTACTCTTAGGGTGAATAAGAGCTATAAAACAACCAACCTCATCAGTTCTGGGAGTTTTGATGGATTGCATGTGTGTTGATCATAGAGTACTAGGTGAGGGACTGACCAAGATCTTATTGAGAAAATGTTCTCTGAGTTGCTCACAGCAGAGAATTTCAGACTGAAGTTAAACAATCTATGCAGGCTTTAACTGTTGAATACATTATATGGTGCCATTTGGTAATGCTCCTTTTTATTGGAAAAGCTTTCATGGCATACATGCCTTTGCATCTTCAACACCTTTTGGAAAGGCTGCTTACCAGATTTAGGAGTAAGTTCTTGAGGACATCTTATCTGATCATTCTTATAGGAGAACACACATGTGAGACCTGTGGCCCATGTTCAGGGTCCATCTGTGTGTGTTGGCCCTTGATGTGCTAATACATGAATTAATTTAGCTTGGCAATCCTCCCAAAGCTACAGTTACCCTTGCTGATTTTCTACTTTCCATGAGAGAACTAGAACTTTGTCACAAAATTAACATTTTTGAGAGATTTTTGGGTTTCTACATCTGTAAGCTATAATAATCAGAATTACAAGAAATAAAAACTTTAAATATTTCACTCCAGTGTGTAATGATTGTCTGCCTTTCTGAGGTGAGCGACAAAAACATAGAACTTTTTCATAATGTTTATATTTTTTAAGCTGAACTTGTATGTGAAGTCTAATCCTGTCTCAGAGTCTCTAACACTAATTCATCCCATTCCGTCAGATTGAGGTCAGGACTTTGTGTAGGCCATTAACGTTCTTTAAAGCCAAGCCCTCTTCTCCATATCTTTATGGATCATAGTAATACAGAAGGGATCATTTCCAAATGGTTTCCACAAATGCCTACAAATGGCCAAGTTACCTTCACCACAATCCTCTCTGTGCTAAACTTTATTCTTAATAAGTTAATCGTTCCAGAAAAAAACTTTCCACTGGCTAGACTCCAGTGGTGCCAGGCATTACAACGGGTGCTTTGTATTGCAATTCGGGATAACAGACTGGGGTGAACCTGCTTGGTCATGGAAACCCGTCCCATCAAGTTTTTAAGCTTCACAGTAATCCAGACAAAGTTTTGAGTTTCCTTCTGATGTTTGCAACAAACTGGCTGTAAGTTACAAATCCATGCACACAGACAAAAGTGACGTTGAAGTGATGAGTTTGCTGATTTCCGTCTCGTCTTTCTCTTCAGCTCCACTGCATTTCCAACCATGGAAATTTGGCCACCATCCAAAACCAACATCAGTACACCTTTCTGAGGAGTCTCATCTTTAAATCAGCAGGAACACATAAGAGAACTTGGGTTGGAGGCTACGATGGTGTTGAGGTGGGCGTTTCTTTAAACTCTTCATGTGTGACACGACAGGCCTGATCTACAAATATTTTACTCATGCAGTTTGCCAAACTGCATGAGTAAAATAATAGCCCTTGCACTGTTGCATAAGATCTACAAAGGTTGAACATGCAAAGTGGTCCTCCTAAAATGAGGATTTTACATGCTGGCTGTCATCCTGGAGCATGTTGGAGAGCAGAAGTATAATAATAATAATACATAAAAATAAGAAAACATTTAATTTAGATAGGCATGCAACGTAGTCCAACAAAACAAAGCTGTAGACTACTGCATTTAAGACTTCTTTTCAGTACAGCTCCTCCGCCTCACCCCTAATTTGCATTTTCTTTGCGTGTTGTCTATAGGCTAGGTTTGCACATGCTGCCAACTTGCCCCTGTTTTTGTACATGCAAACCTGTAGGAGATCAGGTCTTTAATGTTTTTGAGCTAAGAGGTTGGACAATGACTATGTAGGGTGTTCTGTACAGGTTTTGCTCTTACACTGATGTTTAAATTGATTGTATTAGGAAGGCACTTGGCTTTGGAGCAGAGGTACAAAGTTTGACTTTACCCAATGGGGCCCTGAAGAGCCCAACGACTTTGAAGGAAATGAGGACTGCATGGAGATAAACCGCGAAGGTAAGAAGTTTTAACTAGATGTATAACTAGAACAATAGAACATGTGATTTTATTTTGCATGTTGTAAATTATTAATTCACTAAATAAATAAATGTTTAATTAGAAATTACCACCATTTACAAGTAAAATATGTGTCACTGGAAAGTGTGCTAAGATTTTTTCATCATCTTCCTTTTTTTTTGCATGTTTCATTGCAGGAGAAGATTTCGTCAATGACATTCGCTGCGGCCGTGAGAATTCCTTTATTTGTGTCAGACGCCCATAACTGAGTCCAGATTGTCCTGTTGTCACATGACGATGCGTCACTTCCAGCAGGATGTCAAGACAGTGTGGCCAACCTCAAGTCTTGTATTTTTTTCTATTATTGGTGTGATTTTAAAGTTGAGATTACAATATTTTGCCAGAATTCCAACTCATCAGCATCAGACCAAGATGCTATGTTATCTATGTTCTGAGTAGTGCATAGTAAACATGTAGCTATATTTTGTCTAACTTAGCCTCCTGCTGTTTGTGAGAAACAGATGTTAGAACAGTTGTTCAAATGTCACAATGAACCTTTTCATGAGAAACAGAAAATAATACTTTACCATGTAGCACTTCCTAAAAAAATAACCATTCATACACACATACACATTACCATATACCTTTCTGTCTTCTGCATCTCAAAGTCTAAATGGAAGCGTGTTTAAAAATAATAGATGCTGAAACAAAATAAAGATTTGTATTTCAATGTTAATCCTTATAGCAATGTCATAATTTAAGTAATAAAGGAATGGATGCTGCAAATTAATAGCTCAATGCAATCAGCCGGGCTTTCTTAGATGGCAACATTTTAAACTACTTTGAATTAAGTATACTGTACTGTTTAATAACTATTATAAATTTGAATATATGTGTGATTGACCCGACATAAATTTACTGAATTGAACTGAATTACGTTTAAAGAAGCCAATGATGTTCAAGTTAAAACTTTAATTGTTTTCACATGCAAAAAACTTGGTTGTTTAAATGAAATAAAGGGTGATTCAATGTTTGCTCAATATGCTGCATTTATTTTTACATGCAACTCCTCAGAATATTAATATTGGCTTATAAAATCAGCTTGGCCAGTTGCATAAATTGTTTTGTTACTT